AGATAGAGATCCGAGGTTTACTTCTGATTTATGGAAAAGTTTGCAAGAGGCGTTGGGATCTAAGTTGAGGTTGAGTTCGGCGTATCATCCTCAGACGGATGGTCAGACCGAGAGGACTATTCAATCATTAGAGGATCTTTTGAGAGCATGTGTTCTTGAACAGGGAGGTTAGTGGGATACTTATCTTTTGTTGATTGAGTTAACTTATAATAACAGTTACCATTCTAGTATTGGGATGACACCTTTTGAAGCGTTGTATGGTCGGAGGTGTAGGACTCCATTGTGTTGGCATGAATCTGGTGAAAGTGTGGTACTTGGACCTGAGATTGTTCGAGAGATTACTGAGAAAGTGAAGCTTATCCGAGAGAAGATGAAGGTTTCTCAAAGTAGACAGAAAAGTTGCCATGACAAGAGAAGGAAAGATTTAGAATTCCAAGATGGTGATCATGTGTTTTTAAAAGTCACACATGTGACTGGTGTTGGGCGAGCTCTAAAGTCTAAGAAGCTCACTTCTCGTTTTATTGGTCCGTATCAGATATCGGATCAAGTTGGGAAGGTTGCTTACCGAGTGGCGTTACCTTCAAACCTTACTAATTTGCATGATGTGTTTCATGTATCGCAACTTCGGAAGTATATTCTCGATCCGTCTCATGTGATTCAGATGGGCGATGTGCAAGTACGGGATAATCTCACGGTGGAGACGATGCATGTGCGAGTCGTGGATCGCGAGATGAAGATTCTAAGGGGGAATGAGATTGCATTAGTGAAAGTTGTCTGGTTAGGAGCTGCTGGAGAGAGTATGACCTGGGAGTTGGAGAGCAAGATGCGAGACTCATATCCCGAGATATTTGAACCATGTAAACTTTTACTTTCGAGGACGAAAATATTCTAAGTGGGAGAGAGTTGTAACGCCCCGATATTTAATTATTTATTTAATTAAATATTGTTTTGAATATTTTATTTTAATTCGAATTTTTATCGTTGAAGTCGGAATTATTTTTATTAAGTTGGAATAATAATTAATCAGGTTTATATAAGTATAAATAAGTTGAAGTGGCATTTTACTAATAAGCTTAGAATTGATGTTGGGCTTAAGTATGATGTCGTGAAGTATTAAGGGGGGTGTCTTAGTTAGGCCCATTTAAGTTACTAAGAATTAAATAATAGTATTTTATTAGAAAATAGAAGAAAAGAGAGAAAATGGTATTATCAGGAAAAACAAAATAAGAAGAGAAAAGAGAATAGGGTTTTGTGAGAAGAGGAGAAAAACGAGGAAGCTGCTACTAGGACTAGTTTTCAGAAATTCCATTGAAGCTTCCTTGAGTGTTTTCAAAATCAAACCAGGTAAGGGTGGGTTTCTTATCCTATAATGGGATGTATGATATTTTATATGTGGGGATTTGTATGTGAAATTGTTACTGTTTTATTGACTTGTGTTATTGTGATAATAATTAATTTGATTATAGAATTGTCAAAGAATAGGTGTGTTGTTGTGTTATAACTTGTCTCTGGAATGGAATTGGTATCGCAAGACAGTATAGCAGGAAAATTCTATGAAAACAGTATCGTAGATGAGAGGAAGAAATAGGTGGAAGTGTCGTCCGACACTGGTTGTATGTGTGTGTGTGTGTGGGGGGGGAGGGGGGGGGGGGCTTCTGTTCGGAAGCCTTTAGATGAAAGAGGGAAGTGCCGATCGGCACTAGGCAAGAGTGGGAGGAAAAGTGCCACTTTGGCACTGTGAGGCAGGGGCACTTGTTTCTCTGTTTTGTCTTTCTATGGCACTATGCTGCATAATTCTTAAATAATATCAGTAATTACTAGTTGCAGTATATATGAATGTCACTTTTTTTAGTAGCAGTAGATTAAATTTAGTTGCTAGAAGCTAGTTTTATATGGAAGAATGGCACATCTATTAGTTGTATAATAAATTAGTAATTTTAGGGAGAACAATTAACAGTGGGCTATATATATCTTAAATGGATGAATTAGTATTTTATTAGTGATGAAAATAATTTAGCAGTGGGATTAATTGATTAAGTTAGCAATAATTGGAAACGAGTCGATTAATTCGGTATGTTGGTATATTGATGTATTTTATGAATTGACCGAAATGACATTTTGTTTTGATATCTCTGTGGTGAATAAATGTTGTGATTTACCTTGATTAATTGGTAATGACTGTGATATAGGCCTTGGGCCAATGTTGAACGGTGTGAATTATTGTTATGTCGACCTCTATTATGTTGTTGGCGTTATTGTGTTGCTAAGTTATGGTTGTTTATATCACCGCATAGCATAACCTAGCATTAAAGTTGGTATAGATTGGCATGTCCTAAGTTGGAGAGAATGCTCACCATGTTGGCCTTTATTGGCAAGATTTTACATTGAGGGATTATGCATTATGCCTCGGTAAACTGGCATTTTCTAAGTTGGGAGTTCTGCTCCAATGGTACCACATGCATTTGTATAATTGAGTCGCATTTGAAGTCGTTGATTTGTTGCTTATTTGAAGTGTTATTTACGCATGATAATGTTATAAGTTGAATTGAGGTGTTGGTGAATGGTATTGCTTTTTGTTGATTTGGTATGAAGTGGGGATTTTACATAAACTGATTTTGATATATTATTTATCATACGTTCTATTATAGTATTCGATATCTCACCTCTTTTGTTTGAATGTTACCCTTTGTTGGTAACGTGCAGGTAACCAAGAGGAGTAGCCGTTAGCGTTGTTAGTTCGAGTTTGGTGTCATTTTCTCTTATACGTAGCATCAGAGGGAAATGAACGCTTGTTTTATTTTGTTGTTTATTTATCGAACCTTATGTTGTTATTTGAGGAATTATCGTATTGATGTTGTTTTATGATTTAAAAGATGATATGTCTCATATGGAGAATTATCATGAATCCGCTGTGTGATCAATCAAAGTTAGTTTATGTTATGAAGACTTTATTCATGAGTTGTGTTCATTCTGTTTTCTTTAAGTGTTATGTATCTTTTCTAAAAGCATGACAGGTTTATGTGTCTCTGTTGAATGTGTAACATCCTGATTATTTTAGAAATTTTCATACTCTGATGTATGCCCAAGTATGTATGCGTCTGAATATTGAGTTCATATTTCGTAAGAGGAATGCCTAAGGTGAAATTTTCAAGAAATGTAAAAGATTATTTATGCCTCAACAATAGGGATTCTGATGTATGCCCAAGTATGTATGCGTCTGAATATTGAGTTCATATTTGGAATGTTAGGCAGATATTTAAACAATTCGGTAATAGATCATTGAAAAGCAGTAAAAAAGATTATGAGGTACTTAAATAGAACAAAAGACTATATACTCACATGTAGGAGGTCAGACTAGTTAGAGATCGCTTGATAATTTGATTCTGATTTTACTGGATGCCAAGATAACAAAAGATCCACTTCGGGCTATATATATATATATATATATATATATATATATATATATATATATATATATATATATATATATATATATATATATATATATATATATATATATATATATATATATATATATATATATATATATATATATATATATATATATATATATATATATATATATATATATATATATATATATACATGTTCGTTGGTGGTGCAATTTCTTGGCGCAATGTTAAGCAAACTCTTATGCTTCATCCACCATGGCAGCAAAATTATTAACATGTTATGAGGCATTCCACCATGGGATTTGGCTGAGGAATATTGTCACTGGGCTCCAAATTATGGAAAGAATTGAAAGACCACTTAAGGTATATTGTGACGATAAATCAGCCGTCCTATACTCCAACAATAATAGGAGCTCGACCAAGTCAAAACATATTGACGTCAAGTTCCTAATTGTTAAGGAAAAGGATACAAAGTGGACAGATTTCTATAGAACACTTGGGAACAAACTCCATGATATCAGATCCTCTTACAAAAGGTATTCCACCTAAGGTCTTTCATGAGCACACTGCTCGTATAGGTGTTTTACCATTAGAGGAGTCTTTGATTTAGTGAGAGTTAGTCAATTATGAATTTTATGTTCGATATTTTAGTATTATGTATGCATACTATGTTTTTGGATATTTTCCAAATTAATAAAATTTGACATTAAGTAGTTTACATTTTTTACAATAAATTTGTTGAATGATCTCATTAAAATAGAGTAGGACCATTTGAAATCCAAAAAAATTACATAAAAAATGAAATCTTAATGTTTTTAATTTGTTGAAATCCAAATATGTATGTCTTTAACTTCATGTAATTTTCATGCTACACATTTCATGATAGATAAATGTTAATTAGTTGTGACACTATTAATGATCGTTGATTGATTTAATTATGATTGATATAACAAAAATCACCTTGATTCTTTATATTGACATGACTAATTAATGAAAAACATTTGAAATCGAACCATCAAAAGTGTAGGCCATTGTAGAAACATTAAAATAGATTACATGTTAAAAAAACATTAAAATAAGAAAAGTATGTCATCCTTTCCGGATTAGATATGAACTTTTTGCTAAACATTTGAGAGGAAAAACAGAGTGGGCAAAGCGTGCTTACTTTGCTATCATTTCTTGAACGTTGAAAGAGAAACATTTCGGTGTAAAGCAAATTGTTAATTCATTAAATTTCACTAAACTTATTGCTGTATTTTTGTTAAAGAAAGGTTGAGAAAAATGCATTGAAGAGCATTTAGCAAAAAGAGTATATTACAATGGAAACAATGTATAATGCATGATGAGTATCAAATTAGAAGCAAAGCAACAATAATCATGTTAGTTCTACTCATGTCCCTTAATCAACACCCAAAGCAATACCTTAAAGCACAAAATATTTTCTTATCATACAAATATGTAAAAGTAGCCTCAACTTTGCCAACCCCTAATAATGAAATCTTAATTTTTCTATCTTTACTCTCTTTAAAACCTTCCACCATTTGAAAACAAAACATACATATTTGGCACACTGAGAAACACACAATAATGTCTTACCATAATGGCATGCATCATAACAACAACAACAACGTTGTTGAAGACCATGAAACTCTGACATACCAAACCTATCCGTGTGGATACTATGTCCAAAGTCCATCCACCCTATCCCATGCCAACAGCGCAGACGTACGAAGCAATATCCCAAACGACGGCACTGATTCAAGTTTCCACTCTCCAAACCGATCCGAGACTCACCCGACAAACCAAACCCGTTTAGCGCTTTGCCGCTATTCCTCCTCTCGAGGCTCCAACCACTCTTTCTTGCACCACAAGAAGATTTCATATGACGGCACTGTCACTGAAAACGACGATGATCGCCACCTGATAATCGTCGATGATAATGACAGTGTCGTCAGTGATGGAGATGAGAAAGGATTGTTTGATGAGTATTATTATGGGAAAAATCAAGGAGAGTGGAAGAGATGCTTCTCCTACAATTTTTCAGATTCATTTGCTTGGATTTTGTTGCAAATAACTTGGAGAGTTTTGGTGAGTTTTGGTTTGGCATTGTTTGTGTTCTACATTGCAACCAAACCTCCATCACCCAAACTCTCCCTTGAGGTAAATAAAAATAAATGTTTCAAATTTTTTCGGTAAAAACTGAGTATCATCTATCCGCAACTACAGAAACTAATGCCTCGAGTCGACGAGGATCACAATTATATTGATTGTTTTATTGATTTGCAGATTGCAAGGATTCAAGATTTTAAATTAGGGGAAGGAGTGGATAGAACTGGAGTGACAACAAAGATTTTGACATGCAATTGCTCAATGAATTTAATCATTGAGAATAAATCAAGATTATTTGGTCTTCACATTCATCCTCCATTGATGGATATGAAATTTTCCATCTTACCCTTTGCATTTTCAAATGTAAGTATGTCAATAAGATTATGCACCATACAACATTTAGTTTCACTATTCTAGAATAAGTCCTTCAATATTCTGCATCATAATTGAACATTAGAGCACTTTTATAATGAGGGTGTGTATAGATATTTTGAGGTGTAGATAGCATGGTATTTGAATAACTTCTTATTTGCATATGTAGGGACCTGAGTTGTACGCAGAAAGTGGATTAACAATCTTTACATTGCAATTGGGGACAAAGAACAAGCCAATGTATGGTGCTGGAAGAAGCATGGAGGATATGCTAGATTCTGGAAATGGATTGCCAATAGTGATACAAGTAAAGTTGAGTTCAAGTTTTGAAATGGTGCCAACACTTGTTAAGCTAAGGTTTCATCACAGAGTGGAGTGTATAGTGGTTCTTAAGAAAGCTTACAATAAGAAGCATCGATCTCAAGTATTTAATAGCACTTGTAAAGTAACTTGATTAAATGTGACTTTGAAGTACTCTATAATTTGTGGGATAATACAATTAATACTTGCTTGAAGTCTTTTTTAATGGAAAGATAATTTCTTAGATAAGACCCATATCCAATCTAGATTGGGCTAAGACAATGCAGGGAGTTTCTTCTTTCTACAACCTTATTCCATTCATGGGCATTACTATTCGCACACATAGTTGTGATCACACACTTTTGTAAAAAATAAAAAATATCCTTTTTAATTTAGAGATACATTTTCTTTCGTAAGAGAGTCACATTCTCATTTTTGTCAAAAATTAATATGGAGATGCATCTCTATAAAAATATTACGCATATATCTTTGTTCCTTCAGGAACTAAAAATGGATGAAGTTGTAGAACTAGTGGTCTTGAACAATTGTGTCTATCTTCTTTACGGAAGCACATAGTGAACCTGCATGATTAGCACTTCAACGCTCAAGTCAGTTCAAAAATCAAGATGAATGTATCTCTCCCTTAGCGTTTGAATTGATTTTATACCTAGAGTTAAATGGAGTGGATCTAAGTTGAATCGGGCCTTAGTAATTTGGGCCTTTGGCCGACCCAGAATAACTTCTGGACAGAGTTTGAGTCAAATACACGTCAGACCTTCTCCTTTTATCATTTCCAACAACACATATCAAGTCACAATCACTTGTCAAACTTCTCTAATACTGCTTCATCAATCTAAGTGTTTTTTCTACATTATTCAATCTAAGTAGTTTCTTAATAACTTCTCCACATCCATTTAATACAAGTGTTTCAACTTTGACTACAAATTTGATAAATTTTTCCATCCAAATACTTTTTTATTTTTTCTTCATGCATTACAAAATAGGTACTTAGGTGGTTTAAGAAATTTTTGTGTTGCAGAATCAAAGATAAAATGATAATCGATATCTGTGGAGCATGGTTACAGATCGGAGCTCCCGATACAGTTGAGAAGTGACTAACCTGCAAAGTTAGCACATAACAATCAATTAAACATGTGAGGGAGAATAATTAATTGAAATTAAATTTGAAATTGTGTACCTTAAATTGGTGCTCTTTCTTTATATATATTGTAGAGAGGTTATAACAACCTGCTATCTGTTACATGTGAAGTGTAGGAATCCGTTAGATGCATATAGGCTTGAATCACCTAAATTTTCTTGTACGACCACTCTCTTGCGCTTAGAAGGTTCTATAAGAATTAAATCTATTTCTGAATAGTCGGTTGAGGACCTTTATGGTCGGTTCGAAATAATTTCCCCTCAAATCCTTATTTGTGCTTGGCAATAAAAGGATTTGTCTTATCTACCTCATAGATTGAGTGTTTCTTTTAGCTGCTCTTGAAAATCTAGATGATACATTATAGTCTTGGGAATATTCTCCTTTAATGCGCCCCACGCTTCAAATGTCTTTTCTGAGGTACCCTCGTAATGACTTTGGGAAATAAAACATTTGAGGAGCACCACATTCTCATTTGGATCTCCCTTCATGTTGTATTCACTTAGCTTCAGAGGATTCTCCATTGATTTAGGTATTCTGTCATCCAAAATGTTGGCACATACATAAGGCTTCTGCAAATTCTTTGGAGGTTGCTTCTATACCTAGTCATGTAGAGGAGCATGACTGTGTCAATTTCCTTTGAAGCTCCGAGGAGGACTTTGGAGTTTCTTGCCCCTTCGGTTACACAGAGATTTCAGAGCTTCATATCTTATGGATGTGTTCGAATCCGGGATAACAACTCGATTTCTCTTAGAGATAACATCTTGAGTGTTGTTTCCTCATGGAGGCACGTTGTGTAGGATTTCTTAGAGGCAAAACATTCTCTCATTAACTACTTGTAAATTATTCTTCCAAATGATAATGTACATGTCATTTCGGTAGTTTCCTTTGCGCCTTGCATCCCACAGTTGGCTCGCAACAGTTAGAAGCTAGGAAAGGCTTCTGGTTGTGAAGCTGGAGGCAGTTATGGGTTGTTGTCAATAAAGTTAGCAGCTAACGTTGAAGTGTAGTCGGGTGGAATACCACACATTGGGAAATATGTGGTTACCACATGAATCTGATTAAGATTTGGTGTAAACCCGAGTGGATGTCGAGGAGTAGTTGTTTCTTATACTACAGTCGGTGAATGGTTATCTTCCTTACTTGCAATAGCTTGTAAGACTTCAAAAATATAGTCAATCTTGTCTTTCAACTGATTGACATCTTCTCAACACTTCTTGGTTTTGTTTCAACTCATCTATGATCCTTTTGGATTTTGTCAGAGTTTCGCAAGAGATAGGAGGTCATCTTCCTACATAACATAACCAAGTGGTTCTTTGAATAAGTGATACTTTTATATCAGATACATCAATTATTCAATTAATCTAAAAAATTGTGTATTTCTTATAAATGTGTTTGGAAAGCGTAATTAAGAAAAATATGAAAGGTTTTTAGAAAAATAAGTATGGGCGAGAATGATGCATGATTTTTTGTTGTTTTTATTTATTTTATGGAATCGTAAGACTTGTCGTTATTATAAGTATCTAAAAATTTTAAAAACATTAAAGAGTAAAAGACATTATTAACATAAAAATTAATGATTCCTCCATTAATAACCAAACTTAAGATTACAAAGTGACAAGGTAACAACTAAAATTTTTGTAACACCCCGTACGTATATGCCTAGAATAATATATAGTGATGTTATAAATGGTACATAGAAACATACAAAAGCTGGAAAAAGACAAGAATTTAATATACACAAATCCAATATTTGAATGTATACAATTAGCTTGTCTATAAAAATACACAGTGGAAAGATAAGATCTGATGAGGTCTTCCTGCCATCTGCTCGTCTAGAGTCTCCAATACTCACCATCTAGCAATTCTTATATCTATAACCTACGCTTGAAAAATAATAAGAGGATTGGGGTGAGATTAATAAATCTCAGTGAGTTTCCATATCTTATGGGTTCACTCGATTCTACAAGGTGCATACAAACAAAACGAATTCACCGCAAATCTGGGGTTCCCTCACGGCTAGGTACAAATACACAATAAATTACACCACCATTGGTAGTCCCATAACTAACAAATGAGGCACCAAGAAAATATCTGACACATGGCCACAATCCAAGAAGAAACACATGTGGCAAGGCCCGACACATTGGCCTTAATAATCTGAAGTATCTAGAACAAGGCCCGCCACAAAGGCCATAATAATATGCAGACCAGTATCCATGCACGAGGAATCCAAAAGTAAGTTTTATCTGCTACATAGACTATACATTCATATTCTCAGTGAGTTACACCCATGCATCACATCAAGAGACTTGTACCAGCACACTGCCGGATAAATCAGATAATTCCTAAATGGATTTCTATATGTGATGAGTGACAGCATTGACTTTGCTTACTTGGCATAATGGCCCCTTCAATCATCCATATTCACATGTGAGCCTATTCCTACTGTTCCAGCATTAGGTACAAAAGTGTCATCTTGACAAAACGAGCCCACTAGGCCAAAGCCTAGTGGTGTAGCCTTCTTGGCACCACTAGAGGTGAGTAGAACCGAGGTGATATTGCCTATGTGGCATCTCTTCCCCACCATACCAAGCATGCTGAAGTGATCGCCTCAAGTATGGAAATGCCCTATCATATCAACCAACACAAGCACATCACAATGGTAGCTCAGATGTGTATGACATGCCGAGAACACATATGTGATCGCGTCAAGTGTGAAAATTTCCTATCATATCGGTCCATGCAAGCACATCGCAATGGTAGATCAGATGTGTATGAAATACCGAGAACACATATGTGATCGCCTCAAGTGTGGAAATGCCCTATCATATCGGCCCACACAAGCACATCGCAATGGCACGAACTAGAGATTTCATAGCACTAGTCGTGGTCATACGTGATTTACAATATATTATCCAGGTCTACTTTGATTCAAGCATATCTCACATAATAAAAAACACATCAAGCCACATAGGCAAACACGTCCAAACGTTCAACTGGAACAAACGGGAAACATACAAATAATCATATCATAACATTCTAAACACAATGAATTTCCAACATACTCATACATATTCATGTCATAATAAATTAAGAAATCATACACAGTATTACATGATCCACACACACTTGGAAAGTTATAAATCAAGTTAAAGAGGCATTTAGTTCGAATAACAGAATAACTCTACACTCGGGGGAAAACACACAGCTCTGTCAAAACATGTTTGCTAACAAACTGGAAGCGAAGGCCTTATTCGCTAAGTGAAGCATCAGTGAATAATTCTTTTCCAATCCCAGACTATCGCTAAGAAAACCCAGTAGCGGCAGTTTGCTACGCGAACCTTAGCTCGTTGAGCGAAAGTGCAAACTCTGAAAACTATAGGATGAACCAAAGCCAAATCCATATAACCATTCTAAACAAGAGGCAGGTTAATATGCCATATATCACATGTGTAACAAGATTTACAACATATGATTGGATTACCAAGAGGAATTGCATTCCAACATCCATTTCCTAAGTTCATCTATACCTACTCAATACCATGCAATTTAACATCCAATTCCATAAATCTCAAACTGAACTAAAAGCATGATATCTAAGCATATTCACAAGAAGCATTAAAAGACCTTTCCAACACTTTCGACCGTGCTCCGTTGGTAATTTCTAGTTGGATTAAGGGGTTGTTGCTAGCTGGGTTGGCAATTTCTAGTTGGGTTAAGGGGTTGTTGGTCTAGGGTTCAAGTCCTGCCAGTGACATTTGCTTGTATTTTCTTTCAAAATGTAAACGGGTTGTTGATATTTATAAATCAATAATATTTTTAAAATAAATAAATTATATAACATATTTTTCATAATTGAATCACACATACAATGCATTGATCACAAATAAACCCTTAATCATGCAATTACCCCCACCAATTCCTACCCAAGTTTCTAACTAATGGAACTCACCTCATTGACGATAGATATTCTGGTTGTGAGATGTGCAGAAGGT